CAGTAAAACATAAGCAACTTATACATGACATTTTAATGGAAAAGATCACACAGCAGACCAACCCCTGGTCCCCAAGTCCCAGTTCTGGGTCTGCCACTAATTCTGTGTGACTTTGTTGAAGTGACAATCTCTCTGGATGCAAATGTCCTTAACTATAAAAGACTGGAATAAAACTAAATTTTTTCTAACTTTCATTACTTCTAATACCCCTTGAGTTTACAAATCTTCTCCTTCCTTTAGATGGTTACATGCACAGTCACCAAAACGAGCCATAGCTCAGCCATTCTTTGGACATGATCACAATCAATGCATTTGCTATGCATAAACATGACCTCCAACTAGGGCTGCCAGATAAAAAACAAGACACCCAGCTACATTTCCATTCCAGATAAACAATTTTTAGAAAAAGTTATCAAATGGTGCATGAGATATAGGAAAAAATTATTTATTGTTCATCCAAATGCAAATTTTACTTTTTTTTTTATTTGCTAACTCTGGCACCCTACCTCCATCCCCACATTAGAAGTTCAATCTTAAGAAGCAAAAGTCTGATTCCATGTACGTGGGTAGTTCTAAGAGTAGCTAGCTAAAGCATTAAATGGGAGGCCTTCTCAAGAGTAACATATACAGAGGAAAAAAGCAGAAAAGGAGGCAGGGTACAGTGGCTCACTCCTGTAATCCCGGCACTTCAGGAAGAAGAGGGAGGATCACTAGAGCCCAGGAGTTTGAGACCAGTCTGGGCAACACAGCAAGACCCTGTCTCTGAAAAAGAAAATCAGATGGACACAGTGGCACACTTGTAGTCCCAGCTACTCCGGAGGCGGAGGCAGGGAGGTGGGAGGATCACTTGAGCCCAGGATTTAGAGGCTGCAGTGAGCTACGCTTGCACCGCTGCACTCCAGCCTGGGCTACAGAGTGAGACCGGTCTCTAAAAGAAATTTTTTTTAATTAAAAAAGTGTGTGGTGTGCCCTCTGAGTGCTGCACAACCAGACAGAAAGGCTAAAACAAGCTGAATGCTCCCTGCTCCACACACCGCACCCTATTGACATAAAGTTAATTACAAACCCTTTATCTCTGCCTCCAACTCAGTGCTAATGTCTGCTCCCAAGGTAATCAGCTTAAGGGAAACCAGATCATAAACTCAAACTTCCTGACCAAGAGGCAGAGGAACAAATACAGATCAAGCAAAATCTACGTGAGGCATAAAAAGTGAAGGCTATGGAAGGCAAAAATTACTCTCATCAAGAGCCAGTCTTGTTTTAACAATAAAACAATTTTGCTTCTTAGCGGCTCAGACTTTAAGCCTAAAAGCCCTGTTTTGTTTATCAGAAGATATCAAACCTATTATAATTTATTAGGAATATATACATACCCCATATGTACGTAAAAACAATTCTTTCATATTGTGCAGTGAAGATAGGACACATTCCAAGATAAGTTTAAACAACAATGGATGATAGATTCAATTTTTAAAATGACATTGAAAATTAATTACCATACTTTCTAGGCCAAATTAATTCAATTCTCACTGAGAATTCTCACAATTCTTCATTCAGCAGGAAACCCCATTGAACTATAGCCAATACCGCTCTATCAGCAGCAATAGGACAAGGTGGATTATAACAAGACACTTGCAGCTCTGGTCCAGAATAATTAAATATTTGGACTAGATGCATTTCCAATGATGACAATTAACCAAAGTGTATCCATTAACTTAATCGTATGTTTAGCAAGTTTATTGAACACTTACTTTGTCCAAGACATCTTGTAATATAAGACTCAAAAATAAGCGGAAATCATGGATATTTTTGCAAGATATTACAATCTAGTCATGCAAATAAAGCCAACATACACAACAGCTGACAGTCTAAAGTAGTCACATAATTAAAAGCCAAAATGAATCTCGGAGTTGGCAATTTCATTTAGAAGCCAGAAAAAGATTAATTCACTGTGGTGCCAAATATTCATCAAGAAATTAATTTCCATTTTCTTAAATTTCCAAGAAATTTCACTTTCTCCCTAGATCAGTACAAGAGGCCAAAATACCGGAGAAAGGCACTAAATGGCCCTGCCCAGTCTGCCCAGGCTACGGAGCACAGGGCCTCCCTCTGCCACCATGGGAAAGACCATGAGCCCTCACCTTTCTACTTATTTGGTCTTTCCCTTTTTAAGGAAGATAAGGCCATTATCTTGGGGGAAATCAGAGGATAGAAGAGGAGAGACTTAGGAGATGTTAATGTATCTATGGGCATTGCTTCTCATAGAAAAAATGGGAAGGAATAGCAGAGTAATTTCCAATCCCTTTTCATTAATGTTTTGGTTTTTCGGTTTTGGTTTTGGTTTTTTTGTTTTTTTTGTTTTTTTTTTTGAGTGCTTCCTATGTGTCAGAAATTATTCTCTGTGCTATGGACACCACAGTGAAGAAGACAAATTCCTGGCCCTTGCAGAGCTTGTATTCTATCAGTGGGGAGACAGATATTGTATGTGTGCATGTGTGTGTGTATGATGACAGTTAATGTTATAAATACTCTAAAGAAAAACAAGGCAAGGTAAGGGGGTAGAAAATGATAAGAGGGGTGAGGGACACTGTTTTAGATAGGGTGGTCTCTAGAAAAATGAATTTGACCTGAATAATATGAGTGAGAAAGCCATGCAGACATCTGAAGAAAGAGTATTCTAGGAAGAGGAAACAGCAAGTGTAAAGGGCCTGGGGTGTGGCTGGAGTGGAGTAAGCAAAGAGAAGAGTAATAGAAGATGAAGCCACATACCGTGTAAGGGCCTCATGGATATCATGATGAGGACTTTGTTTTTTCTTCTGAAATAAAAAGCCACTGGAGAGATTTGAGCAAAGTGACATAATGGACTCAGACTGCTGTGTTGAGAATAGACTGTGGAGTGGAGAGGATGGGAGCAGGAAAGCCCTTTAGGAGACTTTTGCAGTAATCCAGGTAACAGAGATGACAGGAACTTGGTGGAAGAAGCAGAAGTGCTGAGAAATGGTTATTATCCTGGATATATTCTCAAGGTAGAATCAATGAGATTTGCTGAGGGATTTGACCTGGGGGATGAGAGAAACAAAAGAATCAGGAGTGATTCTAGGATGTTTAGTCTGAGCATCTGGAAGAGGGACGTTGCCATTCATTAAGATGCAAAGACAAAGGAAAAAGCAAATTTGGGAGAGAAAACTCAAGAGTCTGGCTCCTAGAGATTGGTGCCCACTTCAAAACCTTTACATCTATTCTAGAACTAAGGCAACAGAAATTGGAAAGTTGACCTTAAATTTCATATGGAAATTCAAGGAACCCAGAATAGCCAAAACAATCTTGAAAAAGAACAAATTTGGAGGACTTACATGTCCTGATTTCAAAGCTTATACATAGCCACAATAATCAAGGCAGCATGATACTAGCCTAAAGATAGACATAGATCAATGGAATAGAACTGAGAGTACAGAAATAAACTCTCACATTCATGGTCAATTTTCGACAGAGGTGCCAAGGCCATTCAAAGGGGAAATAATAGTCATTTCAACAAATAGTGCTGGGAGAACTAGATATCCACATGCAAAAGGATGAAGCTGGACCTCCTCCTTTACACCACATATAAAAATTAATTTAAAATGGATCAAGGAATGAAATGTAAGAGCTAAAACTATAAAACTTTCAGAAGAAAACATAGACATAAATCTTCATGACTTTGGATTTGACAATGGCTTCTTAGGTTTGACACCAAAAGCACAAGCAATAAAAGAAAAATAGATTAATTATGCTTTATCAAAATTAAAAATCAAGGCAATTAAGAAAGGAAGGAAAGAAGCAAGGAAGGGAGAGAGAAGGAATGAAGGGAGAAAGGGAAGGAAGGAAAAAAGAAAGTAGGAATGAAAACCAACATAAGACACAGAAAAGAATGATCCTCAGACAAGGTTTTTCAGCATTATATTACTTTTTCTTCATTTCTAACCATCTGCAGAAACTGCTTTCCGGGCTATTTTTCCCCTAAAGCAAGTTTTTAAGAAGGCAAAAAAAAAAAAAAAAAAAAAAAAAAAAGAAAAAGGAAACAGGAACAGTGGGGCACTCACACATTTAATCAGCAATGATTACAGAAAACTTACAAGGCATAACTTACAAGGCAAAACTTACAAGGCATATGGTCCCCTACCCGCCACCCCAACATCTGACTGATACAGGAACCATGAAGCGAGAATTCGTCCAGCAGGGAAGAACAGCTGTCCCCACAGAGGTGAGGAAGAGGCCCCTGCTGCAGAAGATTCTGAGGCCACGCGGGTCTGCGCGGCCAGCAGCAGCAAGGCCAGGAAGGCTCAGCCAAGGGCTCACAAGATTCCCTTAGGCCAGGCCTAACCTGGCTTAACTGGTGACAGAGACGGGGCTTTGGCAATAGTTACCGAAACCTGTCATCGCATCAGTCACGACCAGAGGGCCTGGCTGTCAGGTAGGGTTCTCTGTCTGACCGACAGGAAAAGGGAGAACCTCTCCACGCAGCTAGCGCGCAGCGCAGACCCTTGTCATCGAGGGTGTAAAGACGTCAAAGAAACGGAAAACAATGGGAGGGAGGAAAGAAATAGGGGACAGTGCGAGCGGTCTGGGACCTCCCTCCTCTCCCGCCAATGAAGTGTCCTTTCCCCCTGAAGGGGACCCTCGCACCTGGATGCCACCGGGGGTGGCCTCAGACGCCGGACCGACCTGGAACTGCGCCCGACCAGCACCTCGCCCGGCCAATCCCCCCGCCCCCGCGGCGGCCCCCCGCCCCCGCGGCGGCCGTCATCTCTGCGGTCTGCGGGGGGCCCGGGACGGGCAAAGCAACTTTTCTGGCGGGCTCGGACGCCCGGAGGTGCGGAGGGAAGGAGCCGCAGCCTCCGACCCAGCCCCAGGGCAGCGCCGCCACTGCCCGGACACCTCGTTCGGCTCCCGGGATGGACGGGCAGCTGCGGGGCGCCCGGGGCCGGAGCGCGCCTCCCCCGCCGGGCAGCGCCCGCGCTCACCTGGCTCGGCCCCGCCGTCCTGTGCGCGCCGCGTCCACTGCCGCCGGCCTTTCTGGGTCCTCGGCGGGTATTTTCCGTCTGGCCCCACATCACTTCCCGTAAAGGAGAGCGAGGTGGGGGCGGGACCTGCTCGCCTCCCTCCACCTCCCGCTTCCTCCTGTCACCTCGGGGAGCGCCCCCCGCCCGCCCGCCGGGGGGTGGGGGCACCGGCGAGGGCGCGGGGCCGCCGCACCTGCCACAGGGCGCGCCTGGGACCCACGGAAAGGCCCCGGGTCGCCTCGTTTGCGCCGAGACAAATGTCCACTGCCTGTGCTGGAAGGCGCGAAACGATGGGGGTTGTTTTCGTTTTGAGATACGGGGGTGACATTTGCAAACTCTCCGAGCATCAGTTCGCTACGAGGTATGGTTGGTGACTCTCGCCAAATCTCCTCCCCCGAAAGCCGTTTTCCAAAGGTGTTTTCCAGGGCATCAGGTCGGCGTCTTGCCGTGGCCAGAGGTGCCGAGCGGCTGTAAATTGGCACCGCCGAGGTTCCTAAGTCCGGGGGCTCCTGCGGCGGCGCCCCCAGGTCTGTTCTCGGGCCGATCAGCGCCGGGCGTCCGGCTCCGCCTCTGTCCATCCCGCCGCTCCGGTTCCTCGCTGGTGTAGACCCGGGCACGGCCTTTCCGGGGCAACGGGAAGTCTGGGGTTCTTGAAAACGACAAGGGGGACGGAGGGGAGGTGAAATAAGTAAAAATTCTGTCAAGTAAAAATAAATATAATTCTGGGAGAAAATGACAGATGGAGTCTCTGCTCACACGGTTTAATTCAGATTATAAAATCACTCTGAATTTGTAAGGGAGTGCTAGAGAATTCGTTTTTTAAAAAGAGAAAAAATTACAATGCATTAAGAACGGGCTCCGTCAGGAGGAACCTGCGAGCCTTTGCTGCCACCCAGCGGCTCTTCCTCTCGGCGCCGACGGTTTTGCGTGGGCCTGGGGCCAGTTCAGGCTGAGCAGTTCCCACCCAGGGGCAGCCAAGTTTATCCTACAGTGGCCTGGAGGTCTGAACAGCAGCCTTTGGGCCTGCCCGGGAGGCTCTAAGGCAAAGCCCCTTGGAACCAAGTTATTTCCACTTCTAAGCGGAGCAAAATGTTTGGAAGCCTTAGGTCCGGCTTCTCTTACCTCTGTGCCGTCTCACTGAATCTGAGCCCACCTCCACCACAAATACCAGCTGTCCACTTGCCCAACTCCATCCTCCTTCCTCTCTGTGCCTACTCAGGTTGCATAACAGTACAGTTAGCTTCCCGGATATCTGTGCAATTTACAAAATCACATATAGGGGAACCAGCAGTTGGCAATTGTATACAACCAGTAGAACACTTGCAAGCAAACGTAACAGTAAACTCAAGATTAGAAATAACAAATTTCATCGTAGGGTGATGATTTTAGTGGCTGTTCCCCATGGGAGAGAAAGGCCTTCAGACTGTTGGTGAGGTTAAGAAAGGAAAAGTAACCCCATCTTCATATCTAGAGAAATAGTCCAAATGAGAAATAATAGAAAGAATAAGAAATCCAAGTAAGAAATAATAGTGATTTGAGTAAGGCAGTGGCCTTAATGAAGGAGATGAATGGATACATTTGAGATATTTAGGAGAGTTGAATCAAGAGGACTTCGTTGTAGGGGGTGAGGGAGAGGCAGGATTCCATGGAGATGCCCAGGTTTCTGGTTTAGGCAGCTAGGAACCATCTAGCAACAGCAAGGAAATCTAGTTGCAACAGGGAAGGAGGGTGAACTAAGCCATATGAAAGTGCTTAGGACATTTCCGTTTTGACACACTGGTACCAACAACATCCAAGTGAAGCTATTTGTATGTAGTTGAACAGGTTTATCTGGAGCACAGAAGACACGTGCTGCAGCTATTAATATTATCCAAAGGGTACTGGAAGACATGAGAATCAATGAGCTAGTCTAGAAAGTGAACTGAGAGGACAAATAGGAGGCTGTCACAAAACCCAGAGGAACACTCAGCATCTAAGGCATGAGCAGAGAAAATCCAAAAACCAATCTAAGGAAAAAGTGTCCAGCGAGGTAGGAGGAAAACGAGGAGAGTGTGTTCTTACAGAAACGGAACACATCTGGTACACCAGTTCGAAGCCATCCCTACACCACTTCTTACTCTAGCTACAACACTGGTGGCAGCATACCTCTTGCTTCCCACCCTGGGGCTTTTCCAACACTGCAGATTCCTACCTGAAACATGCAGAATCCCAGTTCCAGTATTTCTAAAACGATTGAAATCAGGGGTATCAGTAAGAACTCACGAATTGTACTACATAGAAATAGATAATAGATGTGTGCGTATGCATGTACTATCCAGGTCTGTCTGCTAAGAGGTCCCAGAAGCAATTATATCACAGTAGCTATGAGTACACTTAGCACCCAGATCTTGGTTTCTAGACACTCCTTTCCAATAAAAAGAATCCAGTACATGATCATATATAGAGAAAATCCCGAAGAATCAGAAAAACTATTAGACCTAATAAATGAAATAATCAAAGATGCAGGATCCTAGATCAACACACAAAAATTAGTTGTATTTCTACATATTAGTGAAGGAGAGACAGGCGAAAGGACACAGGATCCATCCTCAGGGAGGACGATTCCTCAGTTAAGGACTTATTTTAACTGAGACCTTAAATATATTTTTGTTTTTAAGCTGCATTAGCAAAACTTGTTTTTCAAAATTTCCCACTGTGAATGTTAAAATATATTCTTAAGTATTTTATACCTAATTGTAAATTTTTTTTCAAAAATCTTGTTTTGTATTTGTTAAACTGAACACGATTTTTGGATAATGTTTAAACATCACTTTTTGTACTTGAAATAAACATTTACTTAAAAAAAACAAAAAGGACACAGGAACCAGCTTGAAGGCATTCCCACCGGCCAAATCTGGGACAATGTGAACATCAAAATAAATAGTGTTTGTCAGGGCTGGCTTTGTGGGCATGTAACCAGGAGAGTCACGCAGAGCCTTGCACTCAGAATTTTAATGCTGTGCAGTCACTGTCTTGAAATTCTTCATAATTTAAACTTTGAATTTGTGGTTTATAAGTGAAGTCTGATGATACAAAGGAGCATGCTAAGAGCTTGGAGCCTCTGATCACGCCCAGGTGATACATATGCCTGACACTGCCCACTCCCCACCCCCTGGTTCCCTGGTCCCTGCCCAGCTCTGCCTCCCCTGCCTTGCTCCAGGGCAGTGACTGGGTCACCTTAGCTTGGGGAAGCCCACATTTCTCCATCTCCTTCCACCCTTGCAGTAACCTAAGTGTGGATGGGTGTAGGAGAGGTCAGGGTTGGGTGCATACCAATGGCACTGTCAACCTAAAAAGAAGACATCAGAGGAAAATATCTCCTAATATAATGATTTTATTTGGGAATAAGCTGAAAGGATTATAACCTGGGGTGCACTGCTATAGCAAACCACAGGTGCATTCAAAGAGGGGAGGGTAAAGGGAAGGTTTTATTGGCAAAAAGGAGTTCAAGTAAGCTGTTTGGAAATAGTTCATTGGTTCCAGACGCTCAAAGCATCTGTTGGCATCAGTTCATTGGTAAAGACAACGTTACCAGGCAAGTGTTCTTTCAAGAGAATCTTATCTGAATTGCTGAAGTCCTAAAGAATGTCTGGTGATAACTTTGTCATAGAAATATGTGGATACGTGAGAAACATGCAAGCCAGGCAAAGGATGAGAGGCATGAAGGACTTGAGAGAATTTCTTGTGGGGTTATTTTAAAAGGTCCTTGAAACAGTTTTCATCTTTAGATATGCAAGCATGAGCGCCTATCTTTTGTGCTCTCCCAATCCCAACTTGTCTGGGTCTGACCAGAGTGACTGTTATCCTGATATGCACAATGATAGGACGGCCTTGCTGATAAACAGAGAAAAATAAACTAACTTGCTGCCTCCAAGATTAACCACAGGGACCTTAACTCACTGTCTTTAAGATTAATCACCTGGCTGTTTTTGGTTTGTTTGGTTATTTTTTTTACTATATTGAATACTTTCTTTATTTAAAAAGCACTTATTGGAATACTTTCTTTATAAACCAGATATTGACAAAGTTTTTATTCTTTTCATTTTCTAATCATATGGGTCTTAACTCGCTGACTTTGAAAATTAAACTGCCTGCAGAGATTGTTTTTACGGCATTTGAAAAGAGCTGAGCAGACAGAAAGGAAATGTAAATCCTCCCTCCTCCTTTGTATTTGCCAGACCAGTTGGCCAGACTACATTGATAAGCCAGTCCCCTGGAAAAGAAAAAAGGGAAAAATGAACACCCTAACATCTCAAAGCTGTCTCCTGTTAATCAGCCTACAATAAATTTTTCTTTACCCCTTTACAACCCGCCAATAAAAAGCCCAAGGCACTTGGCCTCAGTGCCAACATACCTTCTTTCTTTCACTTTCGGGCTGTGTCCCTTTCCCTCAGGAAAAGTAAAATAAACTTCTTACTTCTTTCTATCCTAATCTTTGTGTTGAGAATTCTTTTTCCACCCTTATTGTGAGCCCCCCACCCTATTATGCAACTTTCATAGCTCTATGGGGTGGGCAAGAAGGCAGTTGGCCCTTCCCTGGTCTGGCAGTGCCACATACATTCTGCAGGCTACTCAGCAAGCGCCTCTTCCCACCGCCATGTAAGAATCAAGAACACACCAGCATGAGGGTTGCCTATTTGCATGGATTGGAGCAGTCAGCCCATGTGAAGACGAAATTGACTCCCTCAGCCCCACTCCAGGCCCTGCATTTTCATCTGCAATGGGCCTCACAAATCATGCAGCCAGCCCCGATAATAGCAATGGACTGTAACTTGTGGAATAAAATAGGAATCCGTGCATGAACCATGTTAATCTGTTTTGTGTATTCCCATCATATTGCATCTATTTAATCATGAAAAAGCATGAATCATGAAAAAGCATCAACAAATCCAATTTAAGAGACATTCTACAAAACAACAGGCCAGTATTCTTCAAAAATGTAAACATCATGAAAGACAATGACTGAGGAATTGCTCCGGAATTAATGAAACCAAAAAGACATAACAACTAAATTCAAATGTGATCCTGGATT